GCACGTGCGTATACACATGCACACACACCTGCAGAGAGCTCTGCAGCACAGCCCACAAGGGACATGGCAGGACAGCCACCCAGTGACACTATATTCCAAATGCCATGCACAGTGACACCTTTGGGTGGTGGTCCAGCAGCTCACCTGTGCTACCTGCGTATTAACAGGCAATGTTCCCTCACAGGCTGGCAGTCCGAAGCAATGGGCGACTGGAGCTTTCTGGGGAGACTATTGGAAAATGCACAGGAGCACTCCACGGTCATCGGCAAGGTCTGGCTGACCGTCCTGTTCATCTTCCGAATCCTGGTGCTGGGAGCCGGGGTGGAGTCGGTGTGGGGTGACGAGCAGTCCGACTTCACCTGCAACACCCAGCAGCCCGGCTGTGAGAACGTCTGCTACGACAAGGCCTTCCCCATCTCCCACACCCGCTTCTGGGTGCTCCAGATCATCTTCGTGTCCACGCCCACCCTCATCTACCTGGGCCACGTGCTGCACATCGTGCGCACGGAACAGAAGAGGAAAGAGCGAGATGCGGAGCAGCCGAACGGGGACGGCGACCGTGGCCAGAGGGACAGGTCCCCGGTGCGGGACGACCGGGGCAAGGTCCGCATCGCCGGGGCCCTGCTCCGGACCTACGTCTTCAACATCATCTTTAAAACGCTGTTCGAGGTGGGCTTCATCGCCGGTCAGTACTTCCTGTACGGCTTTCAGCTGAACCCACTCTACCGCTGTGACCGGTGGCCCTGCCCCAACACCGTGGACTGCTTCATCTCCAGGCCCACGGAGAAGACCATCTTCATCATCTTCATGCTGGCCGTGGCCTGCCTGTCCCTCTTTCTCAACGTGCTGGAGATCTATCACCTGGGCTGGAAGAAGCTTAAACAGGGTATGACCAACTACTATAGTGTAGAGACCCCTCAATCCAGGCTGGGGGCCGCGAAACCGGGGGGCGTGAGCCCACTGCCCCCCTCCCTCTCGGCTCCAGCCACCGGCACTGGGGCGTGCCCGCCTTACTACACTCACTCTGCCTCGTCCCTGGGGCAGGCAATGAGCAGGGCCTATCCTGGGGCTCCTTTACCAGCCACAGACGTCACCAAGGAAGCTCTGTCTGAGGCGCAGGGGAAGGGCCACCCTGACAAATTCTATGACAGCAGCCAACACCTGCTAACGGCAGAGCAGAACTGGGCCACCCAGGAGGCCGAGCAGCAGCTCTCAGTGAGGAAGGCCACCCCCCCGCCATTGTCCCCGTCTTCCTCCTTGACCCCTCCGGGCAGCCCCCAGCCACCCCCCCAGGAGCCCGTCCCGGTGGAGAATGGGAATGGCCACAGCTTGGGGGAGAGCAGCTTGGCAGTGACTCCCGACCAGGGGGTCCCGGCAGTGACCTCCCCTGTGGATATGCACGCGCCGCCTCTGCTCCCCGCTGAGCCCAGACGGTCAAGCACGGCCAGCAAGGCCAGCGGCGGTCGGGCCAGACCCAGTGACTTGGCCATCTAGCGGTTCTGGCCCCAGACAGCTCATAATGACCTCTTTTCTAGCACCCCAAACCAAGTGTACTTCGGCGGAGCAGGTAGACAGACAGCCCTGAGTGACAGAGTGCGGGAGGGGGCCGGAGGCCGGCGGGGGGGCGTGTCAGGTTCTGTGTCCTTGTGCGGTGCTTGGAGCTGCAGTGCAGTGGGGAGAACCTGGCACTTTCCACGGCGGGCGGGGGGAAGTGGGGTGCAGGGGCTACTGGCCTCTGAGGACCTTCACAGCCTCGCCGGCACCCAGACCTGGCCCCTGTGCAGGAGCCGCCGCCTGTGCGGGTCTGGTGTCTGCCGTCACTTCAGTCCGGGACTTTTAAGTTTCCTGCCCCTGGGCTGTGCACGTCCCGGGCAGCCCAGAAGGCCAGCGCTGCCTCTGGCCCGCCTCCCGTCTGACACTCTTAACTCAGAGCTGAGTGGATTTGGGATATTTGCCAACGGCACTAAAAAAAGGTTGAGAGCAAGCCTGTGCAGTGTCATTTGAGATTCCGAAATTGCATGTGAAGCCCAGGTAGCCAAGTGTCGCCATGACAAGTGACAGTGAGCAGCTCCCCCGAGAGGCCGAGATCCAGGGGCGAGGGCACAGAGGTGGCTGGGCACAGAGCGGGCGGGGGACGCGGCCACGCCGAGGTCGTTTTTGACAGCTGCCCAGCATGGCAGGCGACCCTCTGCGCTGACTTCTCAGCGCTGTTCCCGCTTTGCGCTGGGCAGGTACGCCCACGCCCCCACTTTCTACCTTTCAGGAAAAGCGAAGGAAGCTTGGTCCCCCACGGCGGATGCTGACTGAGAGAGGGCTCCATCGTCCCCGTAAGTCCCAGTAAGGACCGAACTTCCCTTTCAAAGGGATGCTTCCCCGCCCCGCGCCACCCCGACCTGTGACCACGCGCCGGATACCATGGACGCAGGGAGACTCTTAAGTGCCTCCGGGACCTCGGCGGGGGCGGTCCCAGGGGGCTGAGTGTGTGTCCCCGCTGTCTGCCCATCATCGGTCACTGTGGACCCACGAGCAGAGGTGACGCCGAGCCTGGTCCCCGTCACGCTGTCCACCTCCAACGGCCACCCGGTGTGGTGACCCTCGTTCTGCGGACGCCGGAGCCTCTCCATCGGATCCGTCCCTTTTTATGACTCCCTTTACTTTCCGATGAGTCTTTTGTGACCCATGGACAGTCTGGTGACAAGACTGTGACTTCCCGTTCTCAGAGCGCTGAGAGCGCCTGGGGCCCCCCGTGCGACCCGCTCCCTCCCTGGCACGTTCACAGCCTTTCTGCAGGTGGCGTCAGACCTTGCGAATGGCCAGCGTCTTGGGGGAGGGGGGGTAGGGGGATGGGAGGGGCGTTATGCCCTTCAGTGGGGCGTCACCAGGAACGGGTGCATCGTCATGTCTGCCACCAGAAAACACACTTCCGTATAAAATGAACTTTAAATACCGTGCATTCGACAAAATTCAGATCATCGATCCTAGGATGAAGCGTTTCTCTTTGAATGGGCGCTCGATTCGGGAAGTGATTCTAACGTGACTGGGACACTAAGAAACAAATTTGTCCCCCAAATTCTCTAACTACAAAAGCAAGCTCGCCAGAAAACGCTGGCCGCAAGATGAGGTTTTATCAACACCTTTGTAAAACGGGGGGCTGGTGCGGACAAGACGCACACCAGCTGCCGAGAACGCTGACGATCTGGAAGGTACCCGTTTGGCGAACCCAGCTCACGATGCGAATAGTTCTTCCTCTTCGGTTTGTGCTGAAGGCCGCACGAAATTTCAGTCTGTTGTTCGATTCCCTTTAACATTCCCCGGTGAAACCTGCCAGGGAGATGACGCTGCTCTCTCGGGTTTGCATGTCTGCGAACGGAGTTGGGGTGAAATACGGAAACCAGACGTGCGGGGGGTTGCGTTTGAGTAAGTGTGACAGGGAGGGAGGAGACCACGCGGTGTCCTGACCGCAGCCCAGCCTCTAACCTGCCACGTCACTCACGGAGGGTGGGAGGGATTGGCCTTCCTGCCTTGCAGCGGACAGGGGACAGCGAGGACCGCCCCTCTGTGCTTCGAATGGGCCGGGACCAAATCCGCCTGGACCGCGGCTTGGCACGTAGGAGGCACTTACTTAAGAGTACCCCGGTGAGTGAATGAATGAGTGAATCGCTGAATGAATGAAACGTAGATTTCTGCTTAGCCACATTCACGTCATCGGACACAGATTGGAGCCTCAGAAAAAAAGGTATCAGAGAAGCCGATCCCCTTGCCAGGCCTGCCTAATTCTGCAGAATCAACTTTATTAAGATACAATCTGTGTTTGCAACAGGGACATGCCAAAGGTGTCTCGCCACGATCAAAAATATTCTCATCCCTCTGAAAAGTCCCTTGTGCTCCTTCTAGTCAATTCTCCACCACCGACTCCAGGCAATCGCTAATCTGCTACCTGACACGATAGTCTTTTCTAGAATTTCATACAAATGGAGACATACAGTACGAACTCTTCCGTGTCTGCTCTTTTTCACTCATCATCATGTTTTCAAGCTTCGCCTCCGTTGTTGCGGGATTCAGTAGTGTTCCTTCATATTGCTGAAAATCCCATTATCTGTCCATGCACCTGTTAATGAACTTTTGGGTGGTGTATTAGGGTTCTTTGGCGGGGAGGAGAGTTCATATCTATAAATATATATCTATACCCAGTTGACCCTGGAACAGCATGAGTTTGAACTGCACAGGTCCGTTGATTTTTTTGCAATAAACACTGTAAGTGTATCTTCTCTGCCTTGTGACTTTATTCATGACCTTTTAGTAAGCTACTTTAGCGTAAGACTGCGGCCTACAGTACATATAACACAAAATACTTCCGGTCAACAGGAAGCTGTTAGTGGTTAAGTTTGGGGGAGTCAGAAGTTAACACGGGGGTCTTCACCTGCTCACCGGGAGTTGAGGCCCTAGCCCTTGAGTTGCTCAAGGGTCGACCGTGTGTGTGTAGATATAAAAGATAAGACATTTTCTCTGTAGGTCAACAAGTCCCAAGGTCTGCGGTCCCACCCGGTGGGAGGGCGGGACCCAGGAGAGGGAACTGTGTCAACTCAGTCTGAAGGCAGGAATAAACAATGTCCCATTTCAAAGGCCGTCAGGCGGGAGAATTCTTTCTTAGTGACAGGACAGTCAGCTTTTTTGTCCTTTTCAGGCCTTGCGCTGATTGGGTGGGGCCCACCCAGGTTAGGGCGGGCCACCTGCTGGAGGCAGAATACCAGTTCAAATGTTAATCTCATCCAGACACACCCAGAATCTTATGGGGGGGGGGCATATCCGGGCACTCCTGGGCCTGGGGAAGCTGACACGTAAATGCAACCGTCTCGAACCATGCTGGTCGAGAGTACGGTCACCTGCACGTTGGCCTGTTGTCCGGGCAGACTTTTTATCTTGACCGAGTTCGCTGAGACGGTGGACAGTGGCTAGCCATTGGCTGCTGACGTGGGACACATCCATCCTTAGGTGGCTTTGCTCTGTCCCCCAGGCCCTACCCCCAGCAGGCTGATCAAGCCGCGCTCTCAAGGCCGTGGGGCAGAAGAAAGTGGTCCAGCCTCGGTGTGTGTCCCATCTGCTCGCTTCCCATGGCCAAAGCACGGCCAGCTCGGGAGGGAGGCACAGGAAATCAGCCTCCCTCTTTACCGGGCTCACGTGGCAAAGGGCACAGCTGCAGGCAGGGGTCCTCGACGAAGCCAACCTTGCACAGCCTGCGCAGTGCCATCCACTGTGACGATGCTGAAGAATCAATGTCCTTCCAGAAGGCGAAGTCGTCCAGAGGCTGGGGCCAGGGCACAGGAGTGCCTGAGGCGTCTGCGTTACGCACGTTCGGTACAGCTGGGCATCATGAGAGCTAACAGCCCAGCAGCTCTAGAACTTGGCCTCCACTGGGGCCTCACCCAGCAGGTGCTGCTCCTGCCTTTTACACGTGGACGGCCCGATATTTTACACACTCGGAGGAGTACACATAAGCTCCATCTAGCCAGTGTAAAGGAAAGTAAAAGCTGAACACTCGAGGGTCCACCATTTGGATCAAGAAACACGATATTATTTAAACCTGTTTGGCCGTTCCGCATCTCGAGACCCTCCCTCCCCACTGGGGTTCACGTGTACCCTAAAACTCCATGCTAATATTTTCCCTTACGGTTTTACAATACATGTGTGTATCCCTAGACACGTCCTCCTTGACCCTTGAGTGATGCAGGGGTTTGGGGCGATCCCCTGGACAGTCAAAACTCAGTGGGTGACTTTCGACTGCCCCAAACTTCACTGCTAACGACGACTGTTGACTGGAAGCCTTAGTAACAGCGGCGACAGTCAATCGGCGCGCATTTGGCATGTCATATGTAGTACACAACATATTCTTACAATAAGGCAAGCTAGAGAGAAGAAAATGTTAAGAAAATCGTAAGAGAAGATGTATTTACAGTACTGTACGTTTTTATTAGAAAAAAATCTGCATATAAGTGGACCCATGCTCAAACCCGTGTCCTTCAAGGGACAACTGCATTTTGGACTTTACGTAACTGGAATCAGTGTTTATACAGTCGCGTGTCACATAATGACGGGGACACGTTCTGAGAAGCGAGTCTTTAGGTGATTAGGTCATTGTGCCAGCATCACAGAGTGCACTACCCACACCTGGGCAGTACAGCCCCCTACACACCTGGGCTGCGTGGTCCAGCCCACTGCTCGTGACTGCCAGCCTGGACGGCCTGTCACCGTACAAAACAGGGCGAGACGTGATCAAGCACAAGAGAACGATGCCACCAGCAGACGCAGCACACATGACCTGTGCGAGGCGAGGCTGCGGCCGGTAACACGCACGCTGCTTCAGCAAACTCGAACACATGGGGCACGTTCACATGGCAGCGGCGTCGTTGTCTCATAGCTTCATTGTAATCGTCCGGGACACACGAGGTCCGTGGTTGACCAAAACGTCGTGACGTGGCGCATGGCTGGCCATCCCA